GTCTAAGGGTTCCACAACAGGTCCTCATTGCTGTTAGTCTAAGGGTTCCACAACAGGTCCTCATCTCTGTTTGTCTAAGGGTTCCACAACAGGTCCTCATTGCTGTTTGTCTAAGGGTTCCACAAAAGGTCCTCATCTCTGTTTGTCTAAGGGTTCCACAACAGGTCCTCATTGCTGTTAGTCTAAGGGTTCCACAACAGGTCCTCATCTCTGTTTGTCTAAGGGTTCCACAACAGGTCCTCATTGCTGTTAGTTTTTTTTACAGATTGCAGCACGATTACTTTATGTGTGTGGAGGAGTATTGTAGTTTACACAACAAATATATTCTGTAATTTAGAATTCATTTCATAGAAAATGTATCTTTAAAGGTTGATTGGTTTGTAAAAACAAAGCTCTGAACTCATTAGATGACTAAGAGGTTATGTTCTGTTCATTGTGATTTCATTGGTGGTGAAAGTGTTTAGAAACTAAGTTAGGGTAAGACTAAAGGAAACAATATGAATCATCTAAATGTAAATTTGCCAAGGTGGCGGAACTGAAAAATTATAAGGAGAAACACAATAAGATGCGGGATTTGCGCCACCTAGAGGAGAGGATGTTGCTGGACACTTTGGAGGACACGGACCAAAAGCTGGGGCGGTCACCACGCCGCCCTAGTCGTGCCAGGTCATACCTTCATCTCTCAGATGACCAGGAGGTCAGACAGCTGCAACTGGAGGTGAGGCTCCAAGCAAATTCTCACAAATTCTGAAACATTTTTTTTTACTGCTCTAAAAAAAAAAATCGTACAAAAGGGAAGAAACAAAATATGATATTAGTACATTGAATTAAAAAGATTCTCAATACAAAATGAGAAATAAATTTAAACAAAAGTTTAAAGAACATTGCATCCATCATCAAAAGTAAAGGAAAGTGATAAGTTCTTCATACTGTAAACTAATAGTGTGACTGTGCTGTACACATAAATCTAACACCAGTTTTGATTTGCCAGTGTGTGTCATTGATAAATATGGCTTTACCTGTGTGTCACTGGTAATGATTAATCTATCTAATATGTCTTTTAATATATAATTGTATGAACATCATTCCAGACAGGTAGTATATTAAGTTAAAATGTAAAAGTATGAAATTATTTTTTGAAATTAGAACTTGGTACATGGCTATTTTTGAAATGTCTACACCAGCAGGTTGAGTTGATATGCACCTGTCTGTGGTCGTACCATGGCCCTGTTTTATATAGCATTACACATAACAGCCAGCTGTGTTCCTTCAGTTAACACAGAATGGGGTATAGTTTCTGTCTGTAAATATCACTCTGTTACGTTATTTAACAACCTAGTGAATACATAGAATTTACATTGAACCCAGGACAATTGAAGCAACGTTACCATATTTACTATTTGGACATTGACATTTCCCCAAACTGTATATGAGAATGATTTGATTGGTCAACGTTGCTGCTAAGTAAATTATGTTTTCAAAGAATTTGGAATAACAAAGAAATCTTTCAAACCTGAACTTAATCAAATACATTCTGATTTTACTCTTATAAGTTAGATACTGAAGAAAAATATCTGGGGAATTTTTCAGTATGAGAATTTGAAAGAAAACTTAACCACAGAACGTCACCAACGTCCAGTCATGGAGCCGGTTGAAGCTAGACCACGCAAGAGTTATCAACCTGTTGTACAGCACACTAACCGCCGATCACGCCAGGATAATCGGTCTGTCATGTCCAATGCTAGCATGAGCATTCATCTTGATGATGATGTAAGTCCACTTTGTTTTGTGTTAGGGTTAGATGATGATGATGTAAGTCCACTTTGTTTTGTGTTAGGGTTAGATGATGATGATGTAAGTCCACTTTGTTTTGTGTTAGGGTTAGATGATGATGATGTAAGTCCACTTTGTTTCGTGTTAAGGTTAGATGATGATGATGTAAGTCCACTTTGTTTTGTGTTAGATGATGATGATGTAAGTCCCCTTTGTTTTGTGTTAGGGTTAGATGATCATAATGTTAGTCCACTTTGTTTTGTGTTAGGGTTAGATTATGATAATGTTAGTCCACTTTGTTTTGTGTTAGGGTTAGAAGATGATGATGTAAGTCCACTTTGTTTTGTGTTAGATGATGATGATGTAAGTCCACTCTGTTTTGTGTTAGGGTTAGATGATGAGGATGTAAGTCCACTTTGTTTTGTGTTAGAGTTAGATGATGAACATGTAAGTCCACCTTGTTTTGTGTTAGGGTTAGATGACGGTGATGTAAGTCCACTTTGTTTTGTGTTAGGGTTAGATGATGAGGATGTAAGTCCACTTTGTTTTGTGTTAGGGTTAGATGATGATGCTGTAAGTCCACTTTGTTTTGTGTTAGGGTTAGATGATGAGGATGTAAGTCCACTTTGCTTTGTGTTAGAGTTAGATGATGATGATGTAAGTCCACCTTGTTTTGTGTTAGGGTTAGATGACGATGATGTAAGTCCACTTTGTTTTGTGTTAGGGTTAGATGATGATGCTGTAAGTCCACTTTGTTTTGTATGTGACTGATAGGCAAGAAATGTTTGCATGTACATGTATGTTGTCCGCTTATTGCATGGTCTGTATTTATCAATGCTATCTATTATAATAAGAGTTAATGTTTCTGAAAGATAGGTATGAACTGGTATAAATAATAGGACAAAGATAGGTATGAACTGGCATAAATAATAGGGCATGAAAAGAAGCAATCAGCTCTCAGAGGCTTCCAAATTCAATTTGATTCATAGATAATTTCTTTTTTTAAGTTACATTAACTTTAGTCGGAATTTAACATGGTAAATGCACTTCCTATTAAAACCAAAGTTTTTCTTGATACCTCTAAATTAAGCATTAATTCTAAATTAAGCTTTAAATGTTCTTGGTACCTCTAAATTAAGCATTAAATGTTCTTGGTACAAATATATAATTCAAATATATTTCTCTTGGTACCTCTGCATTGAAACCTTTAATTTTTTTTATGTTAAATTTCTTTTAAATATAAATACACACACAGAGCAACGTTTTCTTTGTATCATTTTGTCACAGATCACAAATATATAATTCTAACTTATTTCTCCTGTTACCTCTGCATTGAAACCTTAATTTTTCTTTATGTTAAATTTCTTTTAAATATAAACACACAGAGCAACATTTTCTTTGTATCTTTTTTTTTTTGTGAACTTGACATTATAAACTGACAGTTTTGAACACATACTAATGGTAACCTAAAGATAGCATAAATTGAAATGTAAAGTTTATGTTATGTATGCCCGGTTTTAGCTGCATGTATATTTTAGAATAATAAAATATGTTATGGAGTGTCTTGGTGGTGTTATTTCTGTAGATAGATACTTTATGTAAATGTATATGTCAACAATTACTGTTCATAGGCTTCTTTTAAATCTTGAATAGTATTTTTTTAATTTTTTTAATGAAGTAATACGCTGAAAAATGGTAAGTGATTTGTTGTAGTGTTTTCTATCAAAATACTACATTGAACAATGATCAGTAATTTGGTAAAAAAAAATCGCCCTTTTTGAGTTTTATGGTAATACAAAGCTGTTGTTGAAATCACTCTACCATTATATCTTAACTTTACGATATGCATTTCACGTTTGCCACCATGTTGAATTTGTTTTTACATACTATTCTTCGATGAAAAAGAAAAAGGGGGCATTTTTTTTTTTTTTACACCACTTTAGTGTAGTATTTGAATAGATCATGCTAAAGCACAATAATTTCGTTTGTATATAATGGCTGTGTATATTTTGTGTTTAAGACTCTATTACCGGTACATAGGTATTACACAAGTATATCTGGTACCATCAGTTGGTATATTACCACAGAAGAGCTTTGTGTATTCTTTTGTCGTTAGTGTTGAGATGGCATGACTTAACGGAATTATAAATTTTGTTTTATGATTTTGTCTGTCATTTTCTCTCCAAACACGAGCCCATTTCAGTGTTGAGGAAAAATATATTTGATAAATGTGAAGTGTGTTTTCTCAAAACATTTATGTTGTAATGTGTTTGTAGTAGTGTTGGGCCTTTTTAAGTAAGGACTACTCTGTAATGTTATTATCTAGCTTTAGTGTTAATTTGATATTCAATGTAAACCTACCATGTTTCAGAGAAGGAAGAAGGTATGTACATGGCACGATTGTGTTAACAGCCTAATATCCACTGATAAACCAGCATGGCAACCATTGTATTTGTACTAAACGTGCTTTTGTGTTTCATGTATGTCTGTATTGGTTCAGATGAACATTCATAATTAGAGACAATAAAACAAGAGTAAGGTTAGGGTTATGGTACATGTACCATGGAAATTGTGAAATGGTAGAACTTTTATATACGTTTCCTGGTAAAGCTGATACATAATCAAGTTACTGGAATTAATTTATGGGGTATTTTAAATATCATTAAGTAAAATAAATCTTAAATTTGGTCATTGTGTTAACAAAAAAGTATTATATCCCCTTCCTATTCAATACCATTATCTGTATGTTATATCCCCTTCCTATTCAATACCATTATCTGTATGTTATATCCCCTTCCTATTCAATACCATTATC